TATAAACTACTTGAACCTCTTATTCTCAAGTTGAGATTGAGAATAAAAGCAAGAAAATTTGAAAAATTAATGCGTTGTAGGTCTCATAAATATGAAAATAAATGATGGTTGGTTAAAATTGATGAAAAAATGTTGGATGATCTGTTTTTTTATATTAGATGCTATCCACTACTTCTAAAAAAAAGTTCGTGGCTAAATTTGTAACTTTATACATGTTGACATGGAGTGCCATGTGTCATTGTGAGTTCTACATTACATCCATCCATTAAAGTTAACAATAGGTTATTGGATGCTTCATTTTTAAAAGTTCATAATTTATTTTACATCATCTATTAGGTTAAACTACCAAATGCTCATAGAAAAATAGTATGTAGCTAAATTTGCTACTTTATCCCATTGCAAAAGGTTAATGTATATTTTTACTTTTGAATTATTATTAGAGGAGTATTTGGCATCATAAAGTATTTATTGTGATAATTTCAATCTCAAAATAATTAAAACGTCACATGTTTGCCTTTGACATTAAAAATCCTAGCATTGATCATTAAAAATACCAACTAGGACTTCAATTTGACTAAAAATCTCATGTCATGTCATGCAAAGTAGATTCAAATTAAAGTATATTTATATTCTTGAATTATTTTTTAAAGAACACCCAATGTTCTAAACGTTTTACATTGTAATAATTTTGCTTTTAAAATAAATAAGACATATCAAAAGTACACTTTAACTTGGATTCACTTGGTATAACGAGTAACATTTTCTATCAAACTTAAGTTCTAATAAGAATTTTTAGCAGTCAACGTTATAATATTTAATCAAGGGTAAATATATTATATTTTAATTATTTTAGAAATAAAATTACTATAACAAATAATTTAAAATAATGTGTTCATGAAAAAAAAAATTTAAAATAAAAAATACCTTAATGCCATTATAAGTAAGTCCGCTTCTTGGGCAGTATAATGATGACTCTAGACAGGAAAATACTATGAGGACACAAGATCAAGATGACACGCAAAGATATATAATAAGAGGGGGCATAAGAGGGGACTCATACAATGCCCGATGAGATAGAGTCACAGCAAAAGAAACTTGTACAATTTATAGTTTGATTTCACGATTCATGATTTTTTTAAGGTTAAGGAGGTATGAAATTTTCAAAACCCTCCAAAAGGCTTTTGGATAAGTTTAGAAATACTGGAGAGTATGAAAATATTTTAAAAAATTCTATACAACTCTAATTTTAATATTTTAATACTGTCTTTAGATATTTTCATGTAAATATTTAGGAGAGGATTCTAGAGAATTAATTATAACTGTATGATTAATTTAATCTCCACCATTCATTAAGGAGGTGAGAATTTTTTAGATCCAAGGGAAGGTTTATAAATACCTCACCCCTCCTCATTTGTAACTATCTTGAGTTCTTAAAGCAATATTACTCTCACATTCCCTAAGCTCTCTCAACTATCCTTTGCCCTCAAGCTTTCACTTTCCTCAACTTAGCTAAGCATTCTCTTTTCCTTCGAATTAGGCTTACTTAGCAACTTTTAGTGAAGACTGTTTAAGTGCTGTACGGGTCAAAAGACTAGCCCCATGACATTAAGCCGTAGATATGAATGGGATGACTAATCGGTTTCTATAAGTTGGATTGAGTTAACAAAATTTTACTCAAATAAAAATGAGTTTTTTTTTTTTAACTTGAACCATACAATTCATGAATTATATGAGTTAATTTGACTCGTATTATTTTTAAAAGATAAAAAAAGGAAAAAAAGGGGAAGTTTTGCCATCAAAGTGGGGGGGCTCAATTCATACTTACTTAATTAAAAAATATAAAATTTTTTTAATTAAATATCACCTCTAATAAAGTAATTATTTATCTTTAAATTAATCCTATTTTTTATATTTACCCTTAATTAATAGAGTATTTTACCCTAAAATAAATATAAATTGATTTATTCAATAAGGGTACCTATAAAAAAAGGCAATAATTATACTTTGAAAGATTAAAAATATTTTTTAATATCTAATCCCTTAAAAAATACATTATAATTTTGAACTAAGAAAGTATATTTTATACAAATATTATGAGTTAATATTTTGGTGTAGCTAAAATGAATTATAAAAATATCACAATTGTTCACATTTTGGAAGCGAATCAACCAAACAATTAAAATACTAGACATGTCAGAGACGTTAAATCTCAAATAAATTGAGTTTCCAGGTTCCATTATTGATGCAAAAATACAAGTTGAGGCTGCATGAAACAAGTTTGATCAAAATAAAGTGCATGAGCACGAATTACAATGGGTAAATTGATAAGATGGACTAAGCTAGAAGATAAACTAAGGATAAAAGCTAATGATTGATAAAGCTTCTAAAAGTTTGTAGGTGTGTTTTTGCATCCCCTCTTATTTGCTACTGTTCTTGTATTTATAGTGCGTGTGCAAGCCATATTGGCAGTTAGTAACTGTGATCTTGTGTCCTTGAAGTATCCACAGGTGAAGGTCATGATCTTGAAAATTTAAGACTTGTTAAAATCATGGTCTTGTATAATGCAACAATTCAGTTGATAGTTCTGAATCTTAAGGGATTTAAAGACTCATGCTTACCTGATCAAGTCATTTTATTATGATATAGACTAGACTTGTCATCATTGGATCTTTTGTTAGACTTGATGTTTCATTCACTCGACCCAATTCTTGCTATAATTGTTGCAACTTTTTGGATAGGTGTTGTTTCAATTTTAGCTTAAACAATAATGCACATACTTCTTTTAAAAATTCATGAAAAAATAAACGAAAAAAATGAATAAATTGATAAGTTAGCTTATTTAATCAAGGGTTTCGCTGGTGCAGTATTTTCATACTAAAAAAATAAGAAGTATCACGATTTGGCTCAGCAGGCTAGGTAGCTGCGTGTGATGTAGGGTTACTTCAAATGTGTTGTTTTGTCATCTCGCAAACGAATTATTCAAGTGAACTGCAGTTTTCTGTTTCCGGATCCCACGCTCTGCCAAAGCGAGTGACCGCCATGCTAAATGCTCACTGGACAGTAAAAAAACAAAAAATAAATCAAAATTAGAGGAATCTGTTTGGGTTCTTCGCTGATGGGACGGGACAATGGCATCTGTAAGAACAAAGAACCTTTACACTATCTTCCTCAACTGGTGCAGCCGCCTGCGTAAGAGACAGAGATGTCAACATGCAACCACCATACCATGTGTACGTGCTACTGCCCCGCCCTTACTCAATGACCCACCGTGAAGCTCCTCTGGTTTAACTAAACAAACTCAGCTTGTTTTTGTTTTCCTTCCCTAGGCAGTTCAAGTGCAGCGTGTATGTAGTTTCAAGACTCAAACATGTTTGTTTCATATGGAGTTTTCCAACATTCTGACCTTCACCCTGCACACAAAGGCACGAGTGCAGAGAGAGTCCTTAGTCCTATTTAACTTATGGCTCTATCCAATCTGCTAAGTAATGTGGCGATATTAATAGTGCAGCTCAACACTTCTTACCAAGGTGCTCTGCTTGCAACAAACTCAATGGCAATAATGGGTTTGAATCCTGCAACACAAGCTATTCGATCACTTTCACATCTCAGAAAAGTGAAAGAAGTAGGATATATATAACAGCTTGGCTCAAAGAAAATTGACCGGCCGAGGAGAAATCATGTTAGAACACAAATAAATTCGTCGGGCCTTGAAAATGATGTGGTAAACCGTGAATATTTATCATTTTGAAACAAGCATCGCTCCTGGCACGAACGGGTGAATATATTATGAATCAGGATCAGGGGCTGTCAGGACGAAGCAAGCTCAGAATTCTGTAAACTACAGGAAAGGCCATCAAACAGCAAGCAAAGGTTATCTTCTCCGTTTAAAATCTTGTGACTTGGAAATGTATTTGGCCACTGGTGGGAGAGAGGCATTCTGCCTGTGCCCCATTATTTCCCAAGAGTTCTGGAGTTCTGCTAAGTAATGTAACCAGAACTCCAGAAGGCAAATACAATTCAGCACAAGAGAGAGTGATTGCTGATCAACCATTCCCCACGGTAATTTTCTGTTAGTTTGGGTTGAAGGGAAACTTTCCACTTGATGTTTTTGGTGACATTTCCGCTTTGAATTTTGAACGGCTCATCTGATATCTGGGACGTTCTTGGATCAAACTTGACCCAAACTTGATTGGGTGCGTGCTGGAGCTCCCTGGCCCAAAATAAAAAAGAGGTTGGATCTTTTTTGATTTGACAGGTTCTCAAGGCCCACGAAAGTGGTTCCCTAAATTTCTGATCTTGCATCCGTAAAAAATGTGGCCTGTGAGTTTTGAGTTTTGACAAATGATGCCGCAAACCAAGAATACCCCAAGTCCTCAATCGTGGAGTCAAGGATGAACACTGAACAGTTGGCTTAGTTTTGGCCGAAAAACATCATGGCTTTAAATCTGATAGAAATTAACTAGAGGTGGCTTCCAGCTCCTGCAGCACGTGTTAAGCAATAATTTCACGAACTCTGTTGGAAACTCTAGAGAATCCAGAATCAGAACATGACTCTCTTATTGTCTACGTAAAGAGAAACTTGATTCTAGTCATCTGCGTAAGAGGTCGGCGTCTGATATTGTTTCTTAGAGAAGGGGAAAATTAGTAGTCTTGCAGTGAAGATTTCATTAATGGTTTAAGTTCATGTCTAAACTCCTCCATCTCAACACTGATTAAACCAATTGCCTATTCATGGGAGGTCGCGGGAATTTTAACTCGCCACCAGATCGTTTCACGACTACCTTAAATCCTAATTACGGTGATTTTAAAACTCACCGAGATATGAGACCGTCCTGTTTGATTGAGTTAATAGGATATCACAAGTACTTAATTTACGTTGGGCGATGTGCTTATCTTTTAAAAGATGTACTTAATTTGAAAAATTGTAGGTTTAGCTCTAATATTATATATATATATATATATATATAAAGAAAACAAGCAGGGAAGTTGAAGTCAGTCTGTTACAATCGAAGGTAAAGATTCACTGAAGACCCATTAAAGATTCGCATCCCATGGCATATACTGTAATTTAAATTTGACAGAATTTTCACTTTCAGAGATGCATTCAACGAATAAGATTCTGTACATTTGGAAGGCTATCATACGGCATATATATAATTCAGATAATTTCTAAACAAACTCAACCATCCTATGTATGTTTTCTTTATGAAACCAAACAAAAAAGAAAAAGGGCTCTACACAAACTTCACCTCGGGCCTGAAAGTTCCATGGCCTGGACTTGCATCGAAGAGTCATCAGTGAGATCAGAATATCGATCAGATGAGGAGAATTCAGGAGCCTTGCACTTGCTCATGTCAGCTCTTTGATTAGCTTCCCATCTTTCTGCCAATCCATCTCCTTCAAGCATCCTTACTACTTCAGACATTTTGGGCCTGTGACCAGGAAGGTATTGAGTACACAAGAGAGCCACTTGAACCATTTCTTCCAGCTCAATCCTGTCATAGTTATTCTTCAGATCCTTGTCCACGAACAGTTCTAACTTCTTCTCCTGATGAATTTTCTTCACCTGAATCGAAATACCATAAACGATAAGGCAGTTTTTCAGTTTACTTTTCTCTTAACAAGGTGACGTTTGAGGAAAGGTTGTTTGAGTAAGCAGTAAGAAAATGAAAGCAAGCAAGAAACCTTTACCCAATCAAGCATGGCTCCTTTCTGGTTTGCTATCTTGCCAAATTCTAGAGCCCTCTGGCCTGTGATCAGTTCAAGAAGTAGAATGCCAAATCCGAAGACATCAGTTTTCTCAGAGGATTGCCCAGTGGAGAGATACTCAGGGGCTATATGCCCTACAGTGCCTCTCACTGCAGTTGTAACGTGTGAATCTTGGTGATCCAAAAGCTTTGCCAACCCAAAATCTCCAACCACTGCCTCACAATAGTCATCGAGCAATATGTTAGCGGCTTTCACATCCCTATGAATTATCTTTGGATCACACTGCTCATGAAGATATAGCAGTCCCCTGGCTGTCCCCAAGGCGATTTGCTTCCTAGTGCCCCAGTCCAACACTGGTTTAGCTGTTGATCACCAAAGTGGTACTAAATCATCCTATAATAGAACAAGGTAGTGTGAAGAAATGAGAATGAACATTTGTATATTTGAGCTTACCCTTGAGACGGGAAGCAACACTGCCATTGGACATGTAAGGGTAAACCAGAAGCCTTTCATTTGGTGTCACACAGAATCCATAGAGTCTAAGGAGGTTTCGGTGCACTGCCAAGCTAATCATTTCAACTTCAGTCTGAAATTGGATATCTCCTCCTATGGCATTGCCATCTTTAAGCCTCTTGACAGCCACAACAGTTCCATCTGGGAGCATTCCTTTGTACACATTTCCAAAGCCACCCTTTCCCAGAATGTTCTTGCTGCTGAAGTTGTGGGTAGCTATCTGAAGTTCTCTAAATTGGAACCTCTTCAGGTTTCCCAGGTACACTTCTTCATGATATCGGTCTGAAACATCCCAAATATACCATGGATTTGATAAAAGACGTCATAAATTACTTAAAACCAGTGTTGCACGGTGATAATCTGTTACCTTTGACATCAAAAAATGCCTGTTCGTGATGTTTGTGCCTCCACCATAGAAATAGGCCAAAACCAAGAACTATCAAGCAAAGGAATCCTAGACTTAATCCAAAGGCGATGGCCATCTTGTGTGATTTTGTTTTGCTTGATGGTATAGCATCTAGGAAAGCAAAAAATTGATGATGAAATTAAAACAATGACAGCGCAGAATATATCATATTATTAATATAAAGCGAAAGCTGGTGAAAATTTCATAAAAGAAAAAGCAATTGTAAGTGTCTTACCTCTTGTAGTGTTTAAGTTCATGGACATAGGCATCAATGTCGTCATGCCATGGCATTTTGTCTCTTTCCCCGTATCACAGACGAGAGGGTTTCCGACAATGCTGAAATTATAGGAGATTGAGAATATAATTAAGTGGCAAGTGCTCAATTTTCTGCTTTCGAGGTCGGTAGAAACACCTAAACTAGAGCGAAACTACAAGCAAGATAGGCATTTACTTGAATGATTTGGCCAAAATTCTGGGCATTGGACCACTGAGGTTGTTATAGGACAAGTCACTGAAATAATTATTGCAGAAAAAGAAACCATCTTCAGAAATACAGAAAACAGGATCAATTTAATGTAATGCGAAAGAAGAGGACATGAGCATTACAGAAAAGCAAGCTGTGTCATGTTAGCTAGTGACTCTGGACATTCTCCAGAAAGGCTGTTATTGTTGAGCCTCCTGAAAACATTTCCATCGCTTAATATTAGCTTTAGACCGCAGAAATTTTTATTTAAGAATGACAACAGATTACAAGCCTCAAATCTTGGGTCATAAATTCTTACAGGTATTGAAGGCTTCTCAAGTGACCGAGAGAAGGGGGAACTTCCCCATTGAATAAGTTATTAGAGAGATCAAGTGTATGAAGATTTGAAAGCCTGCCTAGCTCTGAAGGTATTGGACCTGTTATGTTATTATTCTGTAGCAACCTGAAATGTAGCCAAGAACACCCCCGTTAATTTATGCACAATAAATAAAAAAGCATCCACCAAGAGAATTCAAATTTGGGCCTTGTTTTCTGATTACTTACACAATCTGAAGGTTTGTTAGGTTACCTATGCTTCGAGACAGAGTACCAGATATACTTTGACTGGGAGTACCCCTGCACCACCATAACACCATTTTGATCTAGCCGGCATTTTGCTGAGGACTAAAATTGTTTTCTTTTGATTTAATTTCAACCTCATATAGAAAATTGAAGAAACACTCACAGGCCAATAACCAAGTTGTCCAGCGAACAGGTGACCATAGTCCAGCTACAAGGATCAACTGCATCCGCATCCCAGTTATCTAAGATGCCATGAGGATCCCGCAGAGAAGCTTTTATGCCCATTAAAGCTTGCACTACAGTAAGAGACACCCAGTTCAGAGCTCTCCATTGATTACAAAGTTGGGGGAACAATGAGAAAATTTCTAGTTTTACCTTCAAAATTCACCCCTTTAGGAGAAAGAACAGCATTCGCAGAACCCCATAACCATAGTAGTGTCACAAAACAAAGAACAGCTTCTCTTAGTTTCTCCATACAGTTGGAACGTTCTAGACCAGACACGAGCTCTGGAAAATGGAGACTCCTTAAGGTCATCGGATATTGAAATGTCAACAAATTCTCAAATGGATGTTCTTTCTTTCTTTGTAGTGATTTTCAGAAGAAAGAAGCGAACTTGCTGCTTTCCATGCCAGAATCCCATTCACCAAAACTCTTGTGCCCGGCCTAGAAAGGAAAGGCAGGTTTTTGGTAGTGTAAAGGGAGTTGGCATGCCTATCAAATTATCAACGAGTCACCTGTAAAGAAAATATTATATAAACACAATAAAACAATTGTCGGTTGAAACTCCAATAAGCAACGAGAGAACGAGAAATTCACTGGTGGGTTAGTCAGGCTCATGCCAAGAAAGCAGAAAGAGATTTTAGAAATTAAAATATTATCATGCACACCTCAGCACATGAAGCAAAAGGTATTGGAGCTAGCATGAGAGACATCATTGGAATTTATTAGTGGAGATTTTAGACTAACAGAATAAAACCAAAATGCTTTATCTCACTCGGTGAAGAAAACCAAAATGGTTTCATTTTTTAATTCACTGGGAGTATCTAATTGCCTAGAGATGTGCATTTGCTAACTGTGCGTTTGTCTTGTATTGAACTACTCAAAACTTAACACACAAGTTGATCAGTATATGTATGAGACGGATTATGGGGTTGTGAAGAATCCAACATTCCTAGAGTTTGGCCATCGAGTAAACTCCCAAAACCGCATATTGTTTTTCCTAAGGTATAGAGAATGTGCGAATCTCGAGAAGGAAATGGGAGAGGGACCTGGGAGTTCGAGATTGATGATGATGGAATATTGGATTTGGTCACCCACTATCTTAGACTCATAAATATCTTCGTTGGCTTTCCCTTATATAAATTAATCTGTTTATTTTTTTAACAATATAATAATTGAGTCTTTTGTGCTGTAAATGTTGGGGAGTGGTGGATACTTTTTTTTTTTCTTTAAAGATTCCATGAAGCACTATGAGCTAACGATCACATTGAGGCATCTCGGGTCAATTCCCTGAGCAGACAGTCATTCCCCTAAAATTGTTCAAAAAGAGCAAAGTCTTCAAAAGCAAAAGCTGCCATTCCTGAGACCCACACCACAGAAACACATCTCTCTTTTCTGTGAATTATTATGCATGCTTCTTCTTTGAATGGCCATGCTAGCTTGTGATAATGAGCAATTAATACGGTGTTCATCTCCAGTCCACCTCAACCAAGGCGCGTGCCAACATCCCCTCTACCTTCAATTATATAGACGGACAAGACAGCCTTTGCCTTCGGTTTTTGATGCTTTAACAAAGACCCTTGAGTTGCTGTAGAAACGAGATACTTACATCATCTATATGAGTAGCAATTGATACATACATCTGTATAGTTTTACTTATTTTGGTTACCTTTAAATGACATAACATACTTAGGTTCTATGAAAATTAAGACATTGATTTGAAAGTGACACGTGGACTGATCTTGTCCGTAGAAATCTGGTCTCCATGGTTGCTGCAGATAGGACCGTGATGCCAGGTTGGTAGGAGGGAGTAGAGTGCCTTCAGGGCTCAGGAACCGTGCCTAGGTCGTACTCCGTTGTCTTTGCTTCATTCTTTATCCTACCCTCACCGATTCAGAATCAACCCATGCTCACAAATGCCAAAGCCATAAATGCCTTGTCAGCCCCAACCTTTACCACCAAGATTCTGCAACCACTTAGTTTGTTTTAACTGTCACAAAATGAGCGATTTGAGCTTGTCCACAAGCCCATAAAAATAACACACCACACGCACATTGAAAAGATAAAAAAAAAATTACAATTTAGACTTGGTTTTCATTTTTTTTTATTTACTTAGATGCATAATAATTGCGTATATAATTCTCACAAGAAGCCCTCACGAGCTTGAGTTGTATTGTGTCCAAGTAATGGAGGGAAAAGGGACCAAATAATAGAGAATTTAAGAGGACTTCAAATGTTAGAAAAGGATGAAGATATCCACAGATTAAGGACCAAAATGAAGTGGGAACAGCTAGACTGATATTGTCCTTTTCCCCATCACTATTAAGACCACAAATCACAAGGCAAAAGCCATATAATCTTATTTGATATTCAGGTTAATCCTCCATTTGTCTCCATTATCATTCTCTGTCTTCTGTGTTTTTTTTTTTTTTTTCAACTCCTACCTTGGGTTACAGAAATTACCCCTTTGTGGGGAACATGTGACAAAAGCAACAGGACAGCAAAACAAGACAGGCGCTGAAAAGCCGCCACGTGAGCAAATGTACTTCGACAACATGACACAGGGCCATCTCTGATTGGATGACGGGTGTTGCACCATTGCGTCTTGAATCGGTTGGAGTACCAAGCTGATTCCCTAAAATAGGGGGAGATAAATCCTTTAGGAGGCCAAAGCCATTGTGCATGTTGTTAAGATCATCATGAGAACGGACAATGCACAACGCGACATTTTATGTTGTCAAGAACGGACTAAACACGCAAATGATTTAAAAAAAAAAAGAACGGACTAAACAGGACATCTGCCATTCTCTCGTGAGAAAAAAAGAAGCCCGAAAGGATTCATAGTACTATGGAAATCCTCAAGATCATTAAGAGAATTTGTACATTTGATACCCTTCTAGCTAGTCTCTATGAAAGCTATGTAATGTAACTGGCTTGCGGCGGATATGTGGATTATATATTAATCACACACACACACACACGCACACATTCTAAGACAGTTGCTAGGCCTTCTTTAAATGTTCCTCTGAGAAAGCTGCCATTTTACATATAGAGTATGTTTGTTAATGATTTTGATACTTAACTCTTATCATTTTAGCTGGAAGAGGTAAAGTAGAGAAAATAACCTTAAAAGGGATAAAGATTAAAAAGTAAAAAAAATAAATAAATTAAGAAAATCTCTTTACCTTTAGGAATTAATTCAGCCATTTCATTTTCGTACTTGTCATAATTTTAGGTTTAACTTCTCAATTCAATTATCCACAATAGTGAGAAAATATACAAATTAAAAATATAGCAGAAAGTGTCCCATTGTTTTAGTCCAAGAGTTTTAACAAAGCTGTGTAGTTTTAATAATTAATGACAGAAATTTGTTTGAATGTCACTTGGAAGCACCAGCATATCAGCATATATAGTGTAACATAAACCCGTGGCCATGTGGTCCAATGCTTAATTTCCTGTGTTTTTTAGCATCATGTACCATTGTTTCTGTTATAACTTCAGCGACACCGTCTAAGGAAAAATGATTTCAACATGACAGCACACAAACAAATTAGGCCAGCAGCATAGTCAAACTAGAAGTGAATCACTTCCTTCTGGAGAAAAATATCTGTCCAACTAGAGGTATCTTTTGAAACGAAAGAAACATTCTCAAAGTCAGTTCGAAACTTTGCTGCGAGTGATTTTATTCCCACATTTGTGTCAGAACAAGACATCTAAAGGTATAAGCTAGTTACGAGATGCCTCTTGTTAACGTTAATATATCAAAACAAAATCGATATATACTTGGCTGGATCAGCCTATATATAGGGAAGATCCATAAGCTAAGCAAGAAGCAGTATAGCACTTGGAGTTGCTTTTGAAATCTTTTTAGTACTGGACCACGTGATACCCACCGATTTGACTGAAGAGAACATCCAAGCCTTTTAAATGTTTTTCCATATTCCATTAACTAGAAAATATCCTCATAGTCTTTATATGCATGTGCTTGAAGCGCGCACACATATATAGCTCCAACATCTAACATGCCCCACCATTTTGGTGGTGACATTTCATTGAGGGCATTTTCTACTTCAAATGAGCCCACTATGATGGATGAAGCATGAACTACTAATGGCGAGAAGGCTACTTAATGATGGTGTTAATGCAGGATGAGTGCACAGCTACAAGCAGTCCTCCAAACCGCTACAAAGTTTCACGAGAAAATATTTCAAATTTAGTGTTAGGTGGGAAATTTGAATTTTTAAAATTTAGTAGCAGTTTTATAAATCGCCACCATATTTCTTGCCAAATTTCAAAATTTTAAAACTTGCGTCGGTTAGAAAAACCCACTACAATTATTGGCGCGAAAAATCAAAATTTCACAACTGGCAGTGGTTCATAACCACTACAATGTTTGCGCCAAAAAAATATTGAAAAATCAAGATATCAGAGTCACACGTGACAATAGTTAGAGAAACTGTTACACTTTAGACACTATAATAGCGTTTTTATTTCTACGATAATGGTTTGGGAAACGACTACAATTTGCCTCGCTACGGTATGTTTATTAGTGGTTTGGCGGACTATTACCAACTACCTTAGTAGCGGTTCGCTGCTAAAAACAACATTGCTAAGAGCCGATTTTTTTTGTAGTGATATATATATATATATATATATATATATATATGTGCATACTCTTTTTGTTTAAAAATGTAAGGCATTTTTAACTGAATCTCACTCCTTAATAAAATAGTTACCTACTTTTTAACTAATCTTATTTTTTTATATTTACTCCTATTAAATACCCTACAATAAATATAAAGTCATAATCAATAGGAGCACTTTTGAAAAAAAAAACAATGATTACATCTTAAAAGATTAAAAATGTCTTATAATTTTAAACATTTAATTTCTCAAAAAATGCCTTACATTTTTAAATGGAGTGAGTGTATATTCAATTTAATAAAGATAAATGTTTGTTTGTTTTCACTTAACATAAAGGTAATAAACAATTCCTTCCACTTCAACAAGAAAAGGAATTGTAATTAAGGAGGCAGGAAGCCTTTCTGCGGTTCATGCATATTGCATAAAATTGTTGGCCACTATTAGTGACCTTTTCAATTGGCCAACTTCTTTAACTTGGTTTCAATCATAACTCATGACCTTTATTTTTTTTAATAAAATTAACTCTAAAATAAGTGTTGAGAGATAAAGAAAACTTATTTAAATAGTGAAGGGCAAACGTGACAGAAGGACAGTTGAAAGGGAACACGGTTGTCCCATTTTCTTCTTAATCACTTTGGCTGAATAGTTTGTAATGCTTCAAAAAATTCCGAAGATTGATATATCAGCCATTCCTTTACACCCACTATATATTTTAAGGAAGATTATATTCACGGATTAATCCAACTTAATTTGCAAAATTTATTATCCAAGACTTTAGAATTTTAAATATTTTTTGTTTTAAAAAAAAGAACACTCAAATTTATGTCATGAATCTGTGACATTTCTTTATAATAATAAATAGAAAATTTAGTATCAGTCATTTTAAAAGTTAATGTAATTCAAGGAAGTTTTGGTTATTCTATAAAATAATATGGGTAACAGGGTAAGAAACACCAAACCTGATGACAGTATTAATACTAGAAGTCCTTTGCAATTTATGGAGTAGGAGTAATTTTAAAGGTGTCTTATAATCTCTTATGTATGTTCTACAGATCTCGGGATTATAATTTTTCGCTACAGAGAGCTGAAAAACAAGGCAATAATGACTAGAATAATTCCTTGTAATTTCCTCTTCTTCTTGTTTTTTTTGGTTCAAACAGAAGATGGACAGAAAGCTGTTATACATAAGCATCTGATTACATTGCATTTATGTTTCAGGTATGGTAAGTTTTGTCTGGAGAACCTGCACCAGGTTGAAACCTTATGGCTATGGGTGATCCAAAAGCAGGACTTGGATTCCATTCACACTACTATACAAATACTTGAGTCGCATAATATGAAATATTGGATTGCTAGTTCTTAGAAAGGTGGGGGAAGAGAGATTTGCCCCAACTTATTCGTTCATGGAATCTCTGAAGTAAGTACGTATAAGGCTGTGTTTATTCTTTGTTATGGTCCCGTCTCCCCCTCTTACAATTAAATGCAAAACAGAGAGCAATAGCTATCAATCATCACGAGATGATGGCCAGAATTCTATAACCTGTCACAAAGGGACTTCTGATAGCTCCATCCTACACTTTTCTCTCTTGAAAAATCCACAAAATTATAATACGAATTATGTTGATGAATTATGAAGAACCACAAGAAGAAAAAGAAGGGGTTGATGATTGCGGGAACTCATGGATCAGACTCGAGACGTTTTGTTCACTGGTAAGAGTTAGATTGAGGAAATCACACAAAAACGAAGAATATGATAAGCATCGGCGGGGAATTTAATGGTTGACAAATTGTAATGCACATAAACATAATAATAGTGATCCAGTAGTTAATTTAATTCTACAAGGGCAGGGTGCAAAACAAGAGATGGATTCCATTGTATGTCGAGTCAATTATAGGATGTACGCCTTGGCGTGAACAGAGAGAGAGAGAGAGAGAAGAAAGCCATTAAGACTGTGTACAAATGCAGCAGAAAATTGCACAGGGAGTGAGGGAGAGAGAGAGAGATGGGATTGAAGAAGTCACATGCGAGCATAATGGAAAACGAAACTGCACTTTGGCCTCAAGCATGACAGCATCCAACAAAAAGCATAAAAATGCTTTGGTCCCCTCTCCCTCTCTTCTAATTCCTTTCCAGATTCCAGTATCCCTTCTTACTCCCTACCCAGTCCATGTGCCGAGGATTTAAAAATATTCCACTGCTCGTAATTTTAATTTTTAATTTACTATATGTCTTGTAAATATTAATATGTCTGTCTCTTTGTGGACCCCTCTTTGATGTCTTGTGATCCCACATCCCAACATTGTAAATAATCATGTGAGAACATTATTTCAAGAACCTTTAAACCTTTGATCTTTATCCATACGCCTCCCTACCATGAACAGAAAACAACCATAGTACTAAAATGGCATGCCGTTTACTTTTTGTAGGCATCTATTTCTTTTCTTTTCTTTTTTGTTGGGCTGAATAGTTGGCATCTAGTTTATTCATGCCTCTTTTGAGGAGGCTCCTTCGTTCCTGGTCCAATCTATCTATTGGGCTTCTGCTTTAGCCCAATGAGCTCTGCGACTATGTGAACCAGTTTTGGAGACCAAAAAAACAAGTCTATTATTTTTTGGACAAAAAAGAAAATTCTATTGAGTATTGAAATCGGGGAATTTGGTTGATATCTGATGAATCACGAGCACAAAACATAACAAGAAAAAGCAGAAGAACAATGAAAGTAAATTATGGTTCGAAAATATTTCCCAAGGTACTGGAAGTGTGAGGTGATATCAGAGGAAGCATGCCAAGAGAACCTGCCTATATTTTATTCCGCTCTCAACCTTCACCAAACACTCACCGTGTTTCCATTCATCATATAAATATATCTCCAACAAAACTGACATCTCCACCATTCATCCATATGGAACCGTATCCAAATGGAACTGAGAATGATAACACGCCGAGGCAATCTGCGAAGAGGTAAGGAAGTCAACACCTGAACCTCATCTTGTAACGATTTCTGCATTAATTTTGATAACTGATTATGTTGATTGAAGGTTGTTGGGTAAGGTTGCCGTGATAACAGGAGGGGCGAGGGGGATCGGAGAAGCGACGGCGAAGCTGTTCGCGGAGAACGGAGCGCACGTGGTGATCGCGGACGTGCTGGACGATCTGGGGGCGTCGTTGGCGAAGGCCATCGAAGGAAGGTACATGCACTGCGACGTGTCGAGGGAGGAAGAGGTGGAATCGGCGATAGAGGAGGCGAAGAGGTGGAAGGGGAGGGTGGACATAATGGTGAACAACGCCGGAGTGTCGGGGACGGAGGGAAGCATAACGGGGCTGGACATGGAGATGGTGAAGCAGGTGGTGGCGGTGAACCTGATGGGGACGGTGCACGGAATAAAGCACGCGGCGAGAGCGATGGCGGAGGGAGGCAGAGGAGGGTCGATCATATGCACGTCGAGCTCGGCAGCGATAATGGGAGGGTTAGCGTCGCACGAGTACACGATGTCGAAGGCGGGGATGGCGGGGCTGGTGAGGAGCGCAGCATGTGAGCTGGGGGTGAAGGGGATAAGAGTGAACAGCGTGGTGCCACACGGGGTGGCGACGGAGATGCTGGTGGTGGGGTACAGGAGGTTCGGTAAGGCGGACATGACGGCGGAGGAGGTGAGGGAGGTGGTGGGGCAGAGGGGGAGTCTACTGAAAGGTAGAGGCGGGACCGTAGAGGACGTGGCACATGCTTGCGTGTTTCTGGCCAGTGACGAATCGGGGTTCGTGACGGCGCACGATCTTGTTGTGGATGGGGGTTACACCTCTGCTAATAGCTCTCTCAATTTCATCTACTATTAAATTTCTAAATCAAGACCCTAAGAAACTCAAGAGACTTCGGCGAGTTAAGTTAGGACGGTGCAATTGCTCATACATGTAGACAACCAACTCGCCGTCACCAGCATTTTATTTATTCCAACATAATTAAATAAAACGTTCTTCATTTTTGATGCAGTAATAACTGATAAATGCTCAGAGGAGAGCTCGTCCCCCAGACCTCTGCCACCAAGGAAGAGCGTCATACTCATAACCCCCATCTTTCTTCGATCGATACACAAAACACAGCATTTGAATTTCAATGTTATTTTTCTTAAAAAATATTGATCCTTACAAGCAGCGGCGGAGCTAGAATGTTGGGTCAGGGCAGAATTATTTACATATTTATAATTTAAAAAATAATAAAAAATTATTTAATAATTACATACCTAATAAATTTTCTCTATATAGTTTTATATTTTAGAATCGTTGAATAATCAGCTTATTATTAACGCTTTCAAACTTCTTTTTCAATATAAATCATGAGACAATCTATAGTTTAATCATTCAATTGCGCAACTAATTTTTCATAAATTTCATAGCATAAAAAATCTTTTTCAACCAATTTTTTTTCCAAATTTAATTTGAGATTTCAAACAATGCGAGCTAAATTATTTTTTTCTTATTTTCTTAAAGGTTTAATACATGTTAATTTTTTATAAAATAATGTTACTATTTGGATATATTGAAAATTGTGGGCTAAAATTAATTGAGCTTTTGAGTTAAAAAAATTAATTTTAGATCTGAGTTAAAAAACAATATGAAATGAGTTTAAAATATAAAATATAAAAAAAGAGAAGGTGCAAAATATAAATACCCATACCCCATCTAAGTAATATTTTTCTGCCCCCCTCAAATACACTGGCTCTGCCAAGGTGAGAGAATTCCGTTGCATTTTGATTTAAATATAGAAAAATATTTAGGTAGATCGGATGCTCATGTCATTTGTATTCTACCCAAAAAAAAATGCTCTAAATAATTTAAATGAAATCTTGTTTGACATTTTTTTAATTAATTTTATTTCTATAACAAAATACATATTTAATTTCTTGCTTTTTCTCTCTCTCCTATCATTAATATTAGAATCAATTATATTTAATGCAATATAAATGTTATGTTTTTTATTGAATAAACTATAAATAACTTGCTGCATTGGTTTACCTAAGTATTTGTCTTAAATACATTTCTCTCAAGAGATTATTTTATTACCCAACGATGATCCGAAAAGAATATGAAGAATCACGATGACGTAAATTCGAGGGGCGCATCATCGATCGATCACATTTTTTAAATTTATAGGAAACCAAAAAAAAAAAACTAATCTCAATTAATTCGCAACAATTAAAGAACCCCAGCAAGAATTTGTACAAGCTCGATTGATTAACAAGAGTTTCTTCTTGATTTTTGGTACTTAAATTGATCGATCGCTTTGCTGATTGAGTTGATAAGCATTCTAATGAGATATGATATACACAGACAGACAGCCTTATGACCGATAATATGTTTCATCATCTTTTGTTCGTCAGATTTTTCTTTTTCTAAAAAATAATAATAAGGAAAGAGAACTTAATTAAATAGATGTTTTTTTTGTCCGCCTTTTTTTTGGTATTGTTTTGTTGTTATTTAGGCCGAATTTGGTGGCAAAATATATGGTGAAACACGTCTATCCTGTTTGTATCCCTTTTGATTTATAAAAACTACAAATAATTTTTATTTGCGTCAGATGCTTACGGTGCAGAATATGGTTTATGTCTTGCCAAATGTTGGCCATGTATGTGGATTTTTAATGATTAAACGTACATTGACACGTAAAAAAAGAGCAAAAAAAAAAAACAAAAACAAAAGATGTAACGAACAAAAGATTTGAATGCGGACAAATCAGAGTGACGGTGGGAAAGCAGCAGAAGCAGTTTGTGAGCAGTCAAAGAGTCAAAGTGGGACTGAAATAAACAGAGCCTCAGCAGTTTTCAAAACACCAAGTTCTGACCCCAGATTCCGTACCTCTTCCTCATAAATTTAAATTATCGTTTGGTTTGGCACAATTTTCCAATCAATGCAATTAATTATCCACCGAATTCTAGAAACTTTCCCTTTGAAGTAAAAGTCCATTCATTTTTGGATTGTAAATATAGAGGTAAGTATAATATGTATTTTGGAAGAAAAGTATTGATGTTTTGTCATAGACAAGAGAATCTCTGATAACAGAATGCAATTGTAGTAACAATCATTTTCCTGAGAAGGGTGAGCAGAGACTGTCTCGCCCCCGATTCGGCTGCCCTTCGCATGCCTCATCCATCGTCCTACCATCTGTTTCTCTCTCATTTCGCCTCTCTCCCTGTCTGCTTTTATACTCTTCCCTCTCTCTCTCAGAGTATATAAGTTTGCAGTATTATTCTTCAGTTGATTAGAATCATAAAGAACTCGAAAGCTTCCAGGGTTATGCGTGTTAATCAATACATGGGCTTTTTTATAAAAAAAAAAAAATTGGCCACAATGGGCTCATGTATTTGTGTGTAAATATACATATAGAAAAAGAAAAGCTGATCTTCTCTTGGGGCATTGTTATATTTTATGCACGTTATGACTATGAGGATGAGGAAATGAGGTCATTCTGCACACTCTGTCTAACTGTTTTCCGATTGCAATATATCGCATGATTTGCATTACCAGCTTTTAGTACCACCTCCTTCAAATAATTTTTATAGGTGTCTATGTGTGAATATCATCACATTATATATTTTGCATATATTCTTTTCCTTATATCGTTATCTCTACGCTACTTGCTGTCGTGTACAGTGTCCCTCCCCTTCTTTTCTAAATCAAAAGCTTCTCTTTTTCTGGCTAGCTCGCTCCCTTCCTCCTTTCATCATGTGGCTGCTTGATCTTCTTACACATCTTTCTCCCATGACCCCCACCAATACGACTCTGATTTTCTTCTCCTTTACACGGATCCCAACCTAACGGATATCAGACTTTTACAATGTTCTCATTCACTTCTCTGACATGGTAATCATGTTCATGATGATCATTAAATGCTTCTGAACAAATGAACCAACAAATAAGATAACTTCGAGAATGAATGGTGAAGTGATGATATTGTAACGCTTCATAAAACTCAATATAGAGCAGCTTTCCACGATAGGGTTCTAACCCATTGTCCAAGTTTATATATTTGTGCCAATATATATTAGGGTTCTCTTATCTATAATATTATATATAAATATTTATAACCAGTACATAAACATACTTTTTTTTTGTTTTTTTACAAATGTACCTAAACATATATATTTAACACATATAGAGGGGGAGACGGCTATCAAAAATACAGCAGCGTAATGGCGGTGTCAATTCATACGTTCACTCTATATAACAGCAAGGAACGGAGAGCTAAATTAGTGTGAATGAAACAGGAACATAAACAGGCAAGAGGGCGATAATATTAGTATATATAGAAGCATGGGGAAGCGAAAGAGGAGGTGAATCAGAGCCAGAGAGCTCCGGCGTCCTTGAGAAGACGAACGAGGGTGCCGTTGATGTGGGAGGCCATGAGGGTCTGGACGCCGCCAAGGAAGTTGCCGCCGATAAAGATGGCGGGAACGGGAGGGTGGTGGGAGTCAGAGAGGCGGTAGAGGAGGGCGTGGATGTCAGGGCCAGCGGCATGCTGGTCGAGCTCGACGATGGTGGGGCCGACGCCGAGGCTGAAGAGGAGACGTTTGACGACGGTGGACATGCAGCAGGTGGTGAAGCTGAAGACGACGACGGCGTTGGTGGAAGCGAGGTGGTGGACAATGTCGCGGGAAGAGTCAGGGACGTCTCTGGCGGAGTCCATGGGAACAGGGGAGTATTTAACGACCTGCATGATGAATGGAGAGTTGAGTATATATGAAAACGCAAGAGTGAAGAAGGAAGGTATGAGAATATATAGAGTGAGGGTGAGCAGGAGGAGTGAAGCGGGAGAGTATATATGGGAAAGAAAAGGAGGGGAGAGAGAGACGACGGCGTTTTCGGGGATTTGATGCCGGCGTGTCGGGCCCAGAATATCAAATAAATATTTTTGAATAGAAAGGGGTGTACGGACCAAGAGGGACTCACGCGATTTCACTGAGACGCGCACACCACCTATCACATCTCTAATGCATTTGCAACAGGCATCATATATATCATGCATCCATCCTGCATGTTTATTCTCTCTCTCTCTCTCTATATCCATTTCAATTATTATGCATATTCCGTGCAAGCCGGGAATTATGCAAGCCATCAGTCCACACAACGTATTTATTTTTAATCAGATTTTTTCCCCTTTTGGTACTTCAAGACCAAACACTGCTGCTCAATAGCTCTCGCTACCGCGAAAATTGCTTTTCAAAATGCCTATAAAAAAATGTCACTGAATGTGGAGGCGAAATGTATAAGAGTAATTTTAAAAAAAGTGTTAATATAATATAAGTCTTTGAGATCGCTCTGAAACATTATAAAGAAAATTAAAAAAAATGAGAGCTTTTGGGAGCGCTCCTTTCTAAAATCATTATACCTTAATTGTAAGAAATTTACAAAACAGTTAGTTGTTCTAAAATTGTATAACCTAAAAACAGCTAATAGATAAAGTGACAAGAGTTTTATTGATTTACTTAAACTCTTGTATGAGATGTTACTAGAGTATAATAAGCTTTTAGCTAATACTTATGAGGCTAAAAAGGTATTTTGTTCAATTGGGTTGAATTATAAAATGATTCATGCATGTCCCAATGATTATGTTCCATTTCGAAAAGAGTATTTAACCTTAGAGAAGTGTCCAAAATATAATGCCTTTGCAGTGTAAGAGAAATTGATGTAGCTCGGCGAAGGGGTTGTGGTATTTTCTAATCATACCAAAATTCAGACACCCTATACAACATTGCAGAAGATGCTAAACACTTAACATGACGTGCTGACAAGAGAATTAAGGATGACAAGTTACGACACCCTACGTATTCTCCTCAATTGAAAAAGTTAATCCTATGTACTATGAGTTTGGAATTGAAGATAGAAACATGCACCTTGTATTAATTTAAACAGAGTAGGTAATAAAATAATAAATCAAACCTTTAACAAAGTTGGGAGATGCGGCAGATCATAGAATGCACGAATATTGATACATTGATACTTTTATTTTAAAAATATAGGATACGATACGTTTTCAATACATACATACATATTTATAAAAAATATAGGGAAAAATTAATCTTTTAGTCTTTCAATTTTTAAGTCACTTGTAACTCAGTCCCTCAACTATAACTCGTCTATAACCTAGTCCTTTAACTTTTGAATCACTTACAAATTAGTCCCTTAATTTTTGTTAATTTTTTTTTCATGTTAGCTTATATCTCACATCAATGAGCAAGAGGAGGATATTTTAAAATAATATATAATCAATTTTTATCCCTTTTATTTGATAAGAATTTTTTTAAAAAAATTTAAAAATAAGGACTGAGTTAGAGGTGAATCAAAAGTTGAGGGATTGACTCGCAGTGAGTTATAGTTGAGGGACTAAGTCGCAGTGAGTCATAGTTGAGGAACTGAGGTACAAGTGAGTTAAAAGTTAAAGAATTAAAAAATTAATTTTTTCAAAATATAAAAATATTAAAAATATAATTTCAATTCAAAAAATATCCAAACTAGCATACATACATAGTCATTTATAGTAATACCATGAAAAACATAATCATTAATTGTATTTTTATTCAATTTATACTTAATTGTCTACCACCTAGTCCCTACTGATAAGCATCGTATCAATACCTTCTTTCCCTTAACCATTATTTGTAAAAAAAAATAGCTTCTATATTTAGTTTATCAAGAGATAAGTTTACCGCTTCTAAAATTTCAGCACCATCAAGGTCTTGTTTGTATTCTTTACTTTTTCTAGCCAAAAGTCGCAAATTAAATTGGTATGGATATAAACCGAGTCTTCTACCCTTTTATGATTCAACTTGTTTCTTTTCATTGAATGAATGAATAAGTAGGTACTTCAATTTCTTTCATAATGATGAAGAGCAAAGCAAGCTTTTGAAGTAGAGGGGGTTGAAGAATCACGCATCACCTACCAAGATTTGGGATCTAATATCCACCTATCTTCAATGGAGTCAAAAGAAATATAAACTTTAAAGTATCGATTCGCAATTTTGGAGTATCGAATATGTATCAAAAACCAAATTTTTTTAAATTAAAAATGATATTTTAATACTTTATGGATGCGTATCGAAAAAGTATTGGCAAGTATCGATATCGAATACGATATCAAAATGGATATGTGAGGCAATTTGAAATATCGGTGCTTTATAAGTCTGATATAATCCAAGCAAAGGAGGAGGTGAATGATGGCCACTTGAGTTGGAGAAGACGCTGGGGAAAAAGATTGCAAGGAAAATGGGATACCTTTATCCTCTATAATTTTAGTGTGAAAATGGCCGTATGTTTTCTAATTTTCTCTCTTATCTATTGCATGACTTATTCTAAGAAGCTACTCAAATTAGCTTTTCAAAATAATCAGTTATCTAATTTTTTTAAAGATTTTAATTATTTTAAAAAATTTAAACAAATGCCTTAAATATTACTTAAAGTGATCTTTTTTTTTCTTCAGAAAAGTGCTTTTCAAAAAAAAAAAACCAAAATCAAACGGGCCCTTGATTTTGTTATTGCCATGCAGAGTTTTATTAGTGGCCCTTAATTAAAGAAATTTTATTCTAAAAACTTCTAAAGAAAATTAATCTACAAGTCCTAGGTTTTCTCAATTTTGAATTTAGTCCTTGTAATTTATTTTATTTTAATCAAGCCCTTATAATTTAATTTATGAAATATATTTGTCCCTAAATGTTAAAAATTATTAATGAATAATCAAAATTTTCAAACAATTTTTTTAAAATTTATAGAAAAATTAATTTGACATTTTTAGTTAAAAAAGAAAAAAGAAAATTGATTTAATACCATGTTTACATTTTTATTAATTTTTTATGAAAATTATATAAATATAAAAGTTATTTAGAATTTATAACATAATTACATCAATTTTAAATTATAAAGATTATGTAATTAATTCTAAAATTATATAATCTCTTAACAAAAATATAAAATTTATTAATTTTATTTTTTAAAAGCAAAAATTCAAGAATTTTAACCTTAAGGGATTAACATAATTGATTAAATCATAAGAGCTTGATTTAATTAAATAAAATAAACTAGAAGGATCTAATTTAAAATTGATATAAACTAGAAAAACCTACAGAATAATTTTCCTAAACTTTTTAATATAAGTTCATATTTACTCTAGTTCTACGAGCCCTGGCCAAAAAACCTCTACACAGACCCTATCCCAAGAAAGTTCTGCTACTAATTACATTATTTAATGACTACTATACCTTTCCGGCGTAGAAAGGGACGGATTCAAGAGGGGCCAGCACCCCAAATATTTATCTCCTTGGAAACGTTTGAAGTCGTGCTCTATAAATTGATTGTAAAAATTGCTTAGATAAATCTTGCCCAACATTGGTAAAAGAAGAAAAAAATTTGGCCTCAAAAAATAATCCTAGATCCGTCAGTGGGCATAGATGACCAAAAACTTTGATAAAGCACGCCATGATGGTGATTTCGCATCTCTAACAATTAAAACCCAATTGTTCTTCTTCTACGTACCCTCCAAATACGCGGAGCACTAGACACAAAAAATCTATAACTTCAACGAAAACATTCTTATTCTTGTTATATACAGAAGCACATCATTAAAAGTAAAACAGCATCTCTTGTTCTAAATTTACATCACGAGAGAGGCTGCATGTTTCACGAACAAAAGAACAATCATAATTTTCATGTCAATGAACGAACATTTGTCAACAAGTTATCGAGGAAGCGTAAGATGGATCGTACACAGGCCCTGATAGGGTTCAGGGCAGAAAGCCTCCACCACGAATATACGGAAGCTGCCCTGCTCTTGAGCTTATCGCAGAACGCCGGCAAGCAATTATCGTTTCTGGGGATCAAGAAGGCTGACGATTGCAGGTAAACGGACGCAGCGCGCCTAACCAGCTCGTTTTTTATGGTTATATTGGAAGGGTCAAATTCATTATTCGCGTCCAAACAGAAGGAGAAACTCCTCGTCGGCGATTGATCTAAAATGTCCTTCAGGCTCGTGTACTGCGAAATGTTGTCGTTACCTTCTAAATCTTTCCAGGCGGAACTGCAAGATGATGAGTTTCTTTTTGTACGCAAACACTGAAGCTCTTGCATATCTGTTGCCATCCTTTGCTCACATTTACGTGATGAGATCAGAAGAGAAGGCTTCTCGAATATGGCTGCAGAGCTACAAAATTAATGGGACGATGAGGGAGATTGAGATGGTGTTTTGTTTTGTGGGTTTACTTGATTTGTTTATTGGTTGTGAGGATTGGACGGGAAAGAGAGATATAGGGAGGAGATGGTGCAGTTTGTGAAGATTATAGCCCGAAATAGCGGTTTTGAATTAACAACCATTCACTGCTCACTCTCTCCGACCCACGAGTTTTGAGGCTAATGCTCGGTTTCATAGTATCAAATTTCGCATCTTCATTATCGTTCCTATTGATTGGGTTAATATTAACGCCGAGACTGAAGATTTACTACTCTTTGATTAGTTAAACTTTTGATCGGGTCAAACAAGTATTTTTCGGAGCCCATGCCCATAGATTTATATATGGCCCAACAATTTATGCCCAGATTATTTTGAATTTTGAATTAAAAATTCAACGTGAAAACAGTGCCCCAAATACATACACCATGACAATGAATTGGATGAATTAAGTTTGATACGTCCCTGTGTCAGATGCCCTATCATGAAAGCTTGACGCCCAAATCATTTTCAGATGAATCCCCTGGGTTTATTGAAATTAAAGGTAGCAAGAATATGTTATCTTGACTTGAGTTATTGAAAATAAAGAATAAACATATCTCAACTAAATTGCTACATATACAAAAGATATTATATTTGAACCTCCAATGATTTACTTAAATGATTAGAGCCCCCAGTCTTGTGCCAATTTTAATTGGTAATTGTGTTCCTTTTTTAGACCAGATAAAATTAAACAGCTAAACCTTTATAATTAAGAAATTAATACATATGGAATATAAAAAAAATAAATTAATGCAGATTAATTTTGACGAGATAACTGTAAAATACAATGAAATTTTCCAAGAGCCATACACTCTAGAAAGAGAAAAGGGCATATGCCTTTTTTCTTTTTTTCTTTTTGCTTTTTACTTGACGGACCGTGGTACCTTTGATATCAATATCTACGTTATGGGGCCAAACATATATATATATATATTCACCAGAAAGACTACATATATTCACCAGAAAGAAATATGTTATCGGGTGGATAAAGGATTTGTGATTGGGCCTTGAATACACGTATCATAACATATTGTGTTCCTTGAACCTTGAACCTCCAATGATTTACTTAAATGACTGGAGCCCCTAGTCTTGTGCCAATTTTAATTGATAATTGTGTTTCTTTTTAGGCCAGAAAATAATTAAACAGCCTAAACCTTTATAATTGAGAAATTAATACAGATTGAATATAAAAAAATAAATTAATGCAGATTAATTTTGACGAGATAACTGTAGAATACAATGAAATTTTCCAAGAGCCATATATTCTAGAAAGAGAAAAAGGGCATATGCCTTTTTTTTTTTTTTTTGCCTTTTACTTGATGGACTGTTGTAGCATTGATGTTAATTTCTATGTTATGGGGCCAAACATATGTATATATATATATATATATATATATTCACCAGAGAGAAATATGTTATTGGGTCGATAAAGGATTTGTGATTGGGCCTTGAATATACGTACCATACCGAATTCAGCAAGCCCATAAAATTTAGTTGGCAAGAATACATTCAAGAATCAAGCTCTTCTAAGTTGCTACACTAAAAACGTATAATTAATAGAGAAGGCAACATTTGGATCAGATCACGAACAAGATTGAGTCAAGCGGAAGGAAGTCCCTCACAATATGATAAATTAAAACTTAAATTCTCATTGGAGAGATGCCCAGCATTTAATACTTGATAGTGCCTTAAATAGAGTTGCCTCTAATAAAAGAATATATGTGAGTAACCAAAAAAAAAAAAAAAAAACAAAAGAACATCTGCATTTGAAATAAGAATGTTGTGATGAACTATATAAAAGATTTATACGTAGTCTCATTTTTATTGCAGCACACATTTTCTTGTTTGTCAAGTATTTTACAAATCTCTTTCAAAGTATCATCAACACACACAGATCACCCCGCAATTCATAAATTAGAGTGAGCTTGACCTGAATCTTTCTCAGGCTCAAACAGGCAAAAACATAGTGAATACCCAAGACGGGGATGCAAAACAAGGCATTCCAATTTTTAATTATATATTCTGAAATGAAAGTATAACTGTAACTCAAGCAAGCTAGGTTTATTTAAGCTGATCTTATTTGAAATGCTTTTAAAATACCCAAATATTAAAAAGTCTATACAGTCAAGTTCAACCCTAACAACTTAGGTTTTTGAGCTTATTTGGGTTGACATGAATATTCAAATAATTAAATATTATTTTATTTTGTTTTTTAGACTAATTTCAATTTTTATCTTAAAAAATTAATATTTTCAATTTTTTATATTATTTTAATTATATTATATTAATACTAATAAAAAGAGTTTGAGTTTTTGGGCTAAGTTTATTTGAGTTTGTGCTTGGCTCAGATTTCTATGAGTTTATTTGGGTGGCATAAATAAGAGTAGGGTAAAAAAAATCTTTTAAATTTTTAAAGTAGACCTTAAAATTTTTTTATGCTTATTTGGATTGGCCTATGAGGCTTGATCCAAATTATTGTCTTTAAATGAAAGCCTCATATTTAAAATCCATTTTGGCGAGCTTGGTGCACTTTGTGTGTCATATTGGAAAGAGAATAATTTTTCTACTATGTCCTGCAAATTTGAACCACGGCCATATTTAATTAAAGTGTGGAGAAAATCATTTTCTAATTTGAATGAAGAGAATAAAGCAAATTAGGTCACTCTGCATTTTTATATTTTGGAACCAGAAATTTCCAGACCGTTCTTTCTCATTTCAAATTTCCAAGGAACGATATTTTGGACACGTTGACGGTATTTATAACATTTTTTACAGGTATAATATTGATTGTATATATTGCCCAATAAAACAAAGCATAATGTGTCATCTCTTGTTAAGGAATAAATCACGTGAATCTATCGTAAATCTTTTATCTATAATATGTAAAACTCTTGCGAGCTATATTTTTTTTATAAGTTATCAATAATATAGCTCATTTCTTAAATAATCGTATTATTTATAGTACCGAACTAATTTTATTAAAAGTCCATAAATCAATTTTTGTTATAAATTAGGCAATGAGTTGTAATATATGTGACCTATAAATGATAAAACTTGACTTAAAATTTATTATTAGTACATTATATATATAATTGTGTATATATATATATATATATATATGTATTTAAATATGGATATATAATTATATTCATGATTATATGCGCACAAATAACCCAACCGAAAGAAAATACGGATTAATACAAGTTAATTGAATCTATTTTAGATTATATTTTAAATGAATAAATTATCATCTATTTTTTACTTATAAAAATTCTCTGCATATTTTGAAAAAAAATATATATATATAATTTGAATTTTTTTTTAAAAATCATGTTGATTAATAAATTTTAATATAAAAAAGACTTATATTCTATGAAAAACACAGTTATTTAGATTTGGGTGGCACTTTTTATCACCACCATACGTAAAAGGTATATTGCTTTATGTCAAATCTATTACAAGATTCTTGGCCGTGCTACATTAATTAATGAATCAATATTATAATACTTGCAGGCCCATTAATCTGTGAAAGAAAATGCTGTGGCTGTCTTCAAAAATGGGGTTGTAGGGCAGGTGTTAGGCATTTTTTTGCTAAAAATAATTAGTCAGAACAAATGACAACCTTTTCTTCAGATGTGGTGGTTTCTGTGTAAACAAAAAAGAAAAGTAGGCTTATTGTCTGCTCTAAATTCTTGCCAGAATCCATACATTAAACAAACCACGTCCACTAAATCTAATTTTGTTCGATCATTAAGTAATAAATAAATCCATGCAACTATTAGGTAGAGAACAGATGAACGGAGGAAACTTCCCTGCAATCTCTGATTTGAAATTTTAAAAAAGTGATTAATAGGAAGAGGCACAAATGTGTGTGCTTTATACTATTCCGCAATGTGCGAATCGAATAGAAAATAAAAATGTACCGTCTTTGTTTTCTTGGCCTATAAAGAAAAAAGTGTAACTTTAGGCATATGGGGTCATCAAATTAAGTTACACGTGGAGGAGCAAGCGGATTTCATCTTACTTGAAGAGAAAAAAAAAAGGAATTGAAAACACATATTGGAGACTGAATAAGTGGCAGGCACAATGGTTTAATTAATAAATAAGGTGATGTAGATATATTATTCATATTTAATATTATATAGTAAATTAAATGTGGTTCTTTTAATTTTACCTAGCTAGAAGGTAACAGTGTGAATGATGGGAGTGGGAAAATGGGTGGTTAAGAATCTCGTGATTGTTGTGAGAAAAAGGAGGGAAGATAGTGTTTGGTTAAAGTTAAAAGAGATTTGATGATGGGACTCCCGAAATTAAAGCAAGTAACTTTGGGCAACAAATACATTCATGTGTCCCCCAATTTACAGTTTTGCTTCTTCTTCAATACTGCCTCGAATATATATGTATTCACCTTCACTTTACCTCCTCTCATTAACTCTCTCTATAAAGCATCTTTTTTTTCCCAATAGCTCATCTCTCTCTCCCTCTCCCTCTCTCTACACATATATATACACAAATACACAGAACGAAATGACCGATGTTGAATTAAGATTTCGATGTGTTTAATTTAATGTAGGCATGTTAATACAGATCATTTAGATACCTTGCTTCGTGCCTGGCGCTTAGGAGATAATTAATACAGTTTTTCTCAATTTCGCTCTGAAACTCACTCAGTTCCATTGCATCAATTGCAAATTAAATGAGAGATCAATAGAGCTTATGATATAAGTACAAATGACTATCATACTTCATGCATTGAAGTAGAACTCAATCAACAGAAAAATAAAGAAAACCCAAAATAAGAAAATTGTGCTATCCAGTAATAAATTGACAACTAAAGACAACTACCTGTGTGGAAAAGAAAGAAGGGGGGGGGGGTGGGAGATTAACGTCAACTCAGATTAAAGACTTTGCTCTAATATTT